CTCTCCTTGCTCCTTAAGCTTGCAGACAGCCTATTGTGGGACCTTGTGATCGTGTAAGTGAATACATAATAAACTCCCATATATATATGTATGTATATATATATATATCTTTATATATCTTCTATTAGTCCTGCCCTGCTAGGGAACTCTGACTAATACACCTCCACAGAGCATCTTAACTCTAGGTGGGAATAGATTACCTGCCAAGGTGAAAGGCTCTTAAGTCCCCGTTAAAACCTTTATACCCACTGTAACAAATCGGCTTCCATGGTCGCCCCACAGGATCTCAACTTGTTGGTCGTCATGGCCTGCATAGCTCCCACCACAGTGGATAAATCTGATGTATGTATTCAATAGAATATTCAGGCTATTGAGTGTGACCATAAAGACTAAATGATGAAGGACATTGCGGCATCTGTGTTACTCAGATTCTTGGATTCCTTAGTTTATGAGAAGCTAGCTGCCATGTTGCAAGGACACTCATGCACTCATGCAGCACTATGAAGAGGTCCATATGGAGAGAAAGTAAAGCCTCCTGCCAACAGCCAGTAAGGGCAACAGCCAGACAGCAGCTATGTTGAATGAGCTATTTTGGAAGTGAATTCTCCAGGCCTTGCCAAGCCTTCAGATGAACATAAGCCCAGCTGATATCTATGACTGTAACCTCCTGAGAGACTCACTGCCAGAATCACCAAACTAAACCGCACCGGATTCCTGACTCTCTCAACTCTGTGAGATAATACGTGTTTCTTGTTTTAATTTGTTAATTGGGGTAATTTGTTATGCAGCAATAGGTAACTAGTACACTTACTATGGGCCTTTGATCTTTTGTTTTTAAAAAAGCATCTTGTCATCACTACCTTACCATAGATGCTTGTATGCACAGTCACACACTCTCATATGTATTTACACATATAACAATGGAAAACATATCCTAAAAATTATTTTTTCTACCCTGAATCCACTCAGTAAGAAAATACGTTTTCTCTAAATAACTTCCTCTAAGTTAATTTTACTGCACATTAAAAATTGCTTAACTTTAGAATATCTTAAAATTATTGCACCTACAAAGTCAAGAATTTTACTTCTTAAGTATTTGTGTATGATAAAAAAATGAATTTAATCTAACAGTGCTACTTACTAAAAATAATAAGCCTGAACTCTGTTACACTGCATATCATTTAAAAATAAACTACTATAACTCTCTCAGACATTTGGTGTTCCCATGACTAAGAGTTTATATTAATGCTACCAACAGAGATTCTATTTTAACATGAACGAAGGTAGTCTCATGAATCACAAAATACATAAAGCAAAACACAGGGTAAGTTTGCCATCACCATGCAATGCTTCTTGCCTAAGACCTTTACCATAACACATAAACAAATTAAGTGTTGATTGTTTTGCTGCATTAGCTGGTTTGTCTGCCTGCCACAAAGAACTCCTAAGTGCAACATCTTAAACACATTCCTTATATTTAACACAGCAGGAGACTACTTTTGCACTTCCTATTTGTTGTGTGTGTGTGTTTGCTTTTTAATTTTTGCTTTATTTTGAAGTGGGGACACTCCAGGTTGGAAAGGCATGCAAGGCTTGTTTGTTTCCTGCAAACCAGTCATCTTGCTGTGAGAAAAGGGAAGCTCCTACCTCAAGCTTCTGCAGAAATGCACTGATTGGCACTCTGCTGATTCGTTGATCTTAAGCACAGCCAGTAGAAGTCTGATTATAATTATTCTTTTTCCTGTTCTCTCTGTATATATCAGGTACAGCAGGGCTCTCAGGGATGTGCTGTTTAATATCAAAACCCAATGAAGTTGGAGAATTCCCCTTCCTCATTCAATGGTAGGCAAGGAAACACATTTAACATGTCTAAGTTGTTTGCAAGCCAAGTCAAACATAGCAGAGCTCATGATCGGAGCCTAGCCAAGTGCTCATAGTGGGTGGCCAGTGAACATTTGTCTAATTTAATTGAATGATCACAAAGAGCTTTAAACAAAATTGGAGCTTCAAAAAGTTTCTATTGTAAGCTCCAGCTTTTAACGCTGTAATATGGTGGCATATTCATATTCTCAAAATGTGACTATGAGGGTCTTTCTGGAAATTTCCTGTGGTGTAGGCTATAATTACAATATGTGACTAGTGAAGTGACAATGGAAGCTCCCTGCCATAGTTTTCTAATCCCCTCCTAGAGAGTTAATGAACTATCCAGTATTTTTCTAATGAATTTATTCTGTTTTTTAATTATCTAGAGTTATTTTCTGTTTCATACAACTAAGAGCCTTGACTGATACAGAGGTTATGTAAAGAATAGATTACAGAATTTAGGCACTTAGAAGATAAAATAAAAATGTATTAAACTGATATAAAGCTGAAAATACCAAGTTAAAATATGCTATTTCAACACAATACAATTTTAAGATTAAAATCATAACATTAAACAAAAAACACTAAACATCATAACACCAGAAACAAGAAAAATATAATTTCTGAATAAGAAAGTCACTTATATACCATATTTAGCATCATGGAAAAGATAATTTTTCACAGTGGAAGCAGTGATCCACAAGCATTTGGAACCATTGCTCTAGAACATTCATCCGAAGAATATTCCTGACCATCCCTTTCAACCATCTTACTTCATTTTATCTCTTCTCAATTGATCTCCTTTCATTCCTACATAATGACAGTAATGAATTTAAATAATTTAGCTAAGGTATGAACTGGGCTGGGTAAAATGGTTTAAAAATAAGTGATCCCGAAATTGATCTACATAATCAACACAATTCCTATCAAAACTCCAAATGACTATTTTTGCAAAAATTGACAAGATGATTCTAAAATTCATAAGGAAATGCAAGACACCCAGAATAGCCAAAGGAAATTTTGAAAAGGAGCTGAAGTGTTCCCATTTCCTGATTTCAAAATTTAATATAAAGCTAAAGTAATCACTATTATGTGGTGTATCTGTTTGTTTTCATCCTGCTGTGAAGAAATACCTGAGACTGGGTAATTTATAAAGGAAATGGGTTTAATTGACTCATAGTTCTGCATGTCTAGGGAGGCCTCAGGAAACTTACAATCTTCCAGAAGGCATGTTTTCACAAGATGGCAGAAGAATGAGTCCTGAGTGAAGGGAGAAGCCCTTTATAAACCCATCAGATCTTATGAGAACTGACTCACTATTAAGAGAATAGCATGGGGAAAACTGCCCCCATAATTCAATTACCTCCTACTCAGTCCCTCCCATCATACATGAGACGATGGGAACTAAAATTTGAGATGATATTTGGGTGGGGACACAGCCAAACCATATCATTCCATCCCTGGTCCCTCCCAAATCTCTTGTGCACATATTTCAAAACACAATAATGCCCTTCCAACAGTCCTCCAAATTCTTAACTCATTCCAGCATTAACGCAAAAGTCCAATGTCAAATTCTCATCTGAGACAAGGCAAGTCCCTTCTGCCTATGTCCCTATAAAATCAAAAGCAAGTTAGTCACTTCCTAGATACACTGAGGGTAAAACATTGGGTAAATACACCCATTCCAAATGGGAGAAATTGGTTAAATTAAAAAAAAAAAAAAAGTGGCTACAGGATCCACGCAAGTCCGAAATCCAACAGGGCAATCATTAAACCTTAAAGTTCCAAAATGATCTCCTTTGGCTCCATGTCTCACATCTAGGTCATCCTCATACAAGAAGTGGACTCCCATGCCCTTGGGAATCTATACCTCTGTGACTTTGTAAGGTAAAACCCTCCTCTGGGATTCTTTCACAGGCTGGCATTGAGTGTCTGTGGCTTTTCCAAGCACACAGTACATGCTGTCAGCAAATTCACTATTCTGGGCTCTGGAGGGCAGTGGCCCTCTTCTCACAGCTCCACTAGGCAGTGTCCCAGTGAGGACTCTATGTGGTTGCTCCAACCTCATATTTTCCTTCTGCACTGCCTTAGTAAAGGTTTTCCATGAGGGCTCTGACCCTGTTGCAAACTTCTGCCTGGACATTCGGGCCTTTCCATACATCCTCTGAAATCTAGGCAAAGGTTCCCAAACCTCAATTCTTGACCTGTGTGCACCCACAAGCTCAACACCACATGTAAGCTGCCAAGGCTTGGGGTTTTCACCCACTGAAGTGACAGACCAAGCTGTGCCTTGGCTCCTTTTATCCACAGCTGGAGATGAAGCAGCTGGGATGCAGGGCAGAGGATGCACAGAGCAGGGGGGCCCCGGGGACCAATCCAAGAAACATTTTTCCATCCTAGGTCTCCTGGCCTGTGATGGGAGGGGCTGCTGTAAGGTCTCTGACATGCCCTGAAGACATTTTCCCCATTGTCTTGGTGATTAGCATTCTGCTCCTCATTACTTATGCAAATTTCTCTATCCAACTTGAATTTCTCCAAAGAAAATGGGTTTTTCTTTTCTATATCACATTGTCATACTGCACATTTTCCAAACTTTTATGCTCTGCTTCCTCTTGAAGGCTTTGCTGCTTAGAAATTAATCCCTCCAAGTACCCTAAATCATCTCTCTCAAGTTCAAAGTTCCACAGATCTCTAGGACAAGGCAAAATGCTGTCAGTTTGTTTGTTAAAACATTGCAAGAGACACCTTTATTTCAGTTACCAACAAGTTTCTCATCTACATCTGATAACACGTTAGCCTGGACTTTATTGTCTATATCACTCATAGCATTTTGGTCAAGGCCATTCAACAAGTCTCTAAGAAGTTTTCAGCTTTCCCACATGTTCCTGTCTTCTGAGCCCTTCATGTCTCTAGGAAGTTCCAAACTTTCCCACATTTTCCTGTCTTTTTCTGAGCCATCCAAACTTTTCCAGCCTTTGCCTGTTACCCAGTTCCAAAGTTGCTTCCACATTCTTGGGTATCCTTAAGGTAGCATCCCATTCTACCAGTACCATTTATTGTATTATTCTGTTTTCACACTGCAATGAAGAAATATCCAAGACTGGGTAATTTACAAAGGATAGGTTTAATTGACTCACAGTTTCGCATGGCTGGAGTGGCCTCAGCAAACTTACAGTCTTGGCAGAAGGCACTTCTTTACAAGGTGGACAGATAAAATGAGCCCTGAGTGAAGTGGAAGCCCTTATAAAACCACAAGCTCTCATGCGAACTTAATCACTATCACAAGAACATAATGGGGGAAACTGTCCCCATGATTCAATTACCTCATGCCATGTCCCTCTCAGCACACATGGAGATTATGGGAACTAGAATTCGAGATGATATTTGAATTGGGACACAGCCAAACCATATCACATGATATTAACATAAGTATATACATACAGGTCAATTGAATAAAATTAACAATTTGGAAAACAGTCCACACATTTATGATCAACTAATTTTCTATAAAGCTATTCAAACTAGAAAGAACAGCTTTGTTTTGCTTTTCCAGCAAATGATGCTGGAACAACTAAATAGCCACATACAAAATTGTAAAATTGGACACCTTCCTCATACAAAATAAAAAATTAACTCAAAATGGATCAAAGACCTAAATGTAAAGCCTAAAATGATTTAAATAGAACAAAAACCAAATGAGTGTAAATCTTTGTGGCCTTTGATTATGCAATGGTATCCTTAGATATAATGACAAAACCAGAGAAAGAATACATTACATTTTATCCAAATTTAAAAATGCGTACTTCAAAATATGCTATTAGGAAAGTAAAGACAGCCCCAGAATGGGAAAAGATGCCTTTCCAAAAAATATACATTATAATGATCTACTGTCCAGAATATATTAAAAATCAGAGGGAGTTCTGCCAAGATGGACAAATCAGAACAGCTCCAGAGCACAGTTCCCAGTGAGAGTGATGCAGAGGGCGAGTGATCACTGCATTTCCAACTGAGGTACCAGGTGCATCTCAATGGGACTGGTTGGACAATATATGAAGCCCAACGAGCGTGAGCTGAGACAGGGTGGGGGGCTGCCTCATGCAGGAAGTGCAGCAGACAAGAGGGCCCCCTCTCCTACACAATGGAGGTCATCGGGGACTTTTCTGGCCACTCTAGCACACTGATTCAGATACTGCACTTCTCTCGTGGTCTTTATGGCCCAGAGACTGGGAGCTTCCCACTGGCCAACAAGCACTGTGTGTTTCCAGCACAAAAACCCACACAAATCTGGACAGCCTTTTTAACTGGCACCTGGAACACCTGTGAGACAGACCCGCACATTCTCCTGTAAAAGAGGGGGCTGAGGGCAGGGAGCCAGGTGATCTGGCTTGGTGGGTCCCACCCCCAAAAGACCAGCAATCTGAAACACACTGGCTTGAGAGTTTTACAGCCAGTGCAGCAATTACCAAGGCAGTCCGCCATTACTGGGAAATCCGGCATTACTGAGGCAGTCTGCCATTACTGAGGCAGTTCAAACCTTACCTGTGTAAACAAAACTGCAAAGATGTTTACACAGCAGCTGGGCAAAGCCCACAGAAGCTCAGCAATGCCTCTGCAGGCAGACTGTAACTGGACTCCCTCCTTGCTGGGCAGGGCATCTCTGAAAAAGGCAGTAGCATGTTAGGGACTTATAAATAAAGCCCCACCTTCCTGGGGCAGAGCACCTGGGAAAAGAGGTGGTTGTGAGTTCCACTGCAGCAACCTTAAGCACCCCTACCCAGCAGCTCTGAACAGAACAATAAAGCTCCCAGCACAACACTTGAGCTCTGATAAGGGATAGACTGCCTCCTCAAGTGGCTGCCTGACCCACGTATATCCAAAGAAGCACTTCATAAAGGAGAGCTCTGGCTGACACCTGGTGAGTACCGTTCTGGGACAAAGGTGCAAGAAGGAACAAGCAGCAACCCTTACTGTTCTGCAGCCCTCATGGGTTATTGCCAGGAAAGAAGAGTCTGGAGTGGACCTCCAGCAGTTCTGCAGCAGAGAGGCCTGTTAGAAGGAAAACAAAAAAAAAAAAAAATGAAATAGCTTCAACACCAACAGAAAGGATGTTCACTCAGAGACCCCATCTGAAAGTCACCAACTTCAAAGACCAAAGGTAGATAAATCCACAAAGATGTGAAGAAACCAGTGAAAAATTGATGAAATCACCAAAAATCAGAATGCCTCCCCTCCTCCAATGGATTACAACTCCTCAGCAGCAAGGGAACAAAACTGGATGGAGAATGAGTTTGACAAATTGACAGAAGCAGACTTCAGAAGGTGGGTAAAAACAAACATCTCTGAGCTAAAGGAACACGTTCTAACCCAATGCAAAGAAACTAAGAACCTTGAAAAAAGGTTAGACAAAATGCTAAGTAGAATAACCAGCTTAGAGAAGAACATAAATGAGTTGATGGAGCTGAAAAACACAGCATGAGAATTTCGTGAAGAATACACAAGTTTCAATAACTGAATTAATCAAGCAGAGAAAAGGACATCAGAGATTGAAGGCCAACTCAATGAAATAAAATGAGAAGGCAAGAACAGAGAAAAATGAATGAAATAAATGAACAAATCCTCCAGGAAATAGGGGATTATGTGAAAAGACCTAATCTACATTTGATCTGTGTACCTGAATGTGATGGGGAGAATAAATCCAAACCGGAAAACACTCTTCAGGATACTATCCAGGAGAACTTCCTCAACTAGCAAGGGAGGCCAACATTCAAGTCTAGGAAATACAGAGAACACCAGAAAGATATTCCAGAAAAAGAGTAACCCCAAGGCACATATTGTGAGATTCACCAGGTTTGAAATGAAGGAAAAAAAATGCTAAGGGCAGCCAGAGAGAAAGGTCGGGTTACCCACAAAGGGAAGCCCATTAGACTCACAGCAGATCTCTTGGCAGAAACCCTACAAGCCAGAAGACAGTGGGGCCAATATTCAACATCCTTAAAGAAAAGAACTTTCAACTTGGAATTTCATATCCAGCTAAATTAAGCTTCATAAGTGAAGAAGAAATAAAATCCTTTATGGACAAGCAATTGCTGAGAGAGTTCATCACCACCAGGCCTGACTTGCAAGAGCTCCTGAAGGAAGAACTAAACATGGAAAGGAACAACCAGTACCAGCCACTACAAAAGTGTACCAAATGGTAAAGACTATCAATACAATTAAAAATCTTTATCAACTAATGGGTAAAACAACCAGCTAGTATCAAAACGGCAGGATCAAAGTCACACATAACAATATTAACCTTAAATGTAAATAGGCTAAATGCCCCAATCAAAAAACAGACTGACAAATTGGATAAAAAGTCAAAACCCATCAGTGTACTGTATTCAGGAGACCCATCTCATGTGCAAAGACACACATAGACTCAAAATAAAGGGATGGAGGAAGACTTACCAAGCAAATGGAGAGGAAAAAAAAAAAAAAAAAGCCGGGTTGCAATCCTAGTCTATGATAAAATGGACTTTAAACCAACAAAGATCCAAAAAGACAAAGAAGGGCATTACATAATGGTAAAAGGATCAATGCAACAAGAAAAGCTAACTATCCTAAATATATACGTGCCCAATACAAGAGCACCCAGATACATAAAGCAAGTTCTTAACGACCTTCAAAGGGACCTAGACTCCTACACAATAATAGTGTGAGACATTAAGACTCCACTATCAATATTAGACAGGTCAATGAGGCAGAAAATTTACAAGGATATCCAGGACTTGAACTCAGATCTGGACCAAGCAGACCTAATAGATATCTACAGTACTCTCCACCCCAAATCCACAGAATATACATTCTTCTCAGCGCCACATCACACTTACTCTAAAATCAATGACATAATTGAAAGAAAATCACTCCTCAGCAAATGCAAAAGAACAGAAATCATAACAAGTCTCTAAGACCTCAGTGCAATCAAATTAGAACTCAGGATTAAGAAATTCACTTAAAACTGCACAACTACATGGAAACTGAACAACCTGCTCCTAAATGACAACTGGATAAATAATGAAATGAAGGCAGAAATAAAGATGTTCTTGGAAACCAATGAGAACAAAGACACAATGTAGCAGAATTGTAGTACACATTTAAAGCAGCGTCTAGAGCGAAATTTATAGCAATAAATGCCCACATGAGAAGCAAGGAAAGATCTAAAATCAACACCCTATCATCAAAATTAAAAGAGTTAGAGGAGCAAGATCAAACAAATTCAAAACGTAGCAGAAGACAAGAAATAACTAAGATCAGAGCAGAACTGAACAAAATAGAGACACAAAAAAAACCTTCAAAAAATCAACAAATCCAGGTTTTTTGAAAAGATCAACAAAATCAATAGACCACTGGCCAGACTAATAAACAAGAAAAGAGAGAAGAGCTGAATAGATGCAATAAAAAATGATAAAAGGACTATCACCACCAATTCCACAAAAATACAAACTACCATCAGAGATCACTGCAAACAACTCTATGGACATAAACCAGTAAATGTAGAAGAAATGGATAAATTCCTGGATACTTACACCCTCTCAAGACTAAACGAGGAAGAAGTTTAATTCCTAAATAGACCTATAACAAGGTCTGAAGTAGAGGCAGCAATTATTAGCCTACCAACCAAAAAAGTCCAGGTTCAGACGAGTTCACAGCCGCATTTTACCAGACGTACAAAGAGGAACTGGTACCATTCCCTCTGAAACTATTCCAGACAATAAAAAAAGAGAGAATCCTCCCTAACTCATTTTATGAGACCAGCATCATCCTGATACCAAAACCTGGCAGAGATACAACTAAAAAGAAAATTACAGGCCAGTATCCAAAATGAACATCGGTGCAAAAATCTTCAAGAAAATACTGGCAAACCAAATGTAACAGCACATCAAAAAGCTTATCCATCATGATCAAGTAGGCTTCATCCCTGGGATGCAAGTCTGATTCAACATATGCAAATCTATAAACATAAGGCATCACATAAACAGAATCAAAGACAAAAACCACATGATTATCTCAATAGATGCAGAGAAGGCCTTCAACAAAATTCAACAGCACTCTATGCTAAAAACTCTGAATAAACTAGTTATCAATGGAACATATCTCAAAATAATAAAAGCTATTTATGAGAGAACCACAGCCAATATCATACTGAATGGGCAAAAACTGGGAGCTTCCCTTTGAAAT